AAAATGGAGGGCCCCCTGTTGGTCAGGGGGCCCTTGGAATTGTCCTAACTTTTCCTCCCTATACAGTGCCACTGACCACTGTCACTGTTGGTCTTTGCTGTCAGTGTAGGAACCAGAAAAAAAGCAGGTAAATTGCCTAAATGTAGCAACAGAAAAAGGAGATATTGGCATATGGCGACAATTCCATCTTAGCACACACAACTCCTTCATAACACACTTTCTGTTTGGTGGAAGACATCAAGTTTTTCCTATCAAAGCGTTGAATCCCAAGTTAATTCACGTTATTGGTGTCAAAGTTTGACTCAAGTCCAAAGACTTGCATAATTTCACCAAATCTATTCTTGAGGCATTTGTAACTAGAGTATGACACATTTCTCAGTCACATGACTCAAGCCCACACCTCTGCATCACAGTGGCTACCTGTATTTCTTTTAATTGGTCTTTGCACCCAGTACTAAATAAGAAATTAGAAAGTATTTGCACATAACAGTTCTGCAAATGATGTGTACAACAGAGGTTGTGTTTAACCTTGGGGGACCATTCCAGCGATCTGCAAAGTTGCAGTAATGTTATGATCTCAAAGCCACTGCCTGGAGCAATTCTATATTTCCCCATTCTTGATCTTGTGGTTTTCAGAAGACCGCAGGGCCTGTGGCAAATTGTGTATGTGCGGTTATGTATTTTTTAAAGCTCACCAGTGAATCTGAGGACAACGCTATAGGTGCCATCCTTGCGACTGAAAGAGATCTTACATGTTCATACACTCGGCATAGAAACTGTAGAAATGCAGCCAAGTGGGTGTGCCCTTAAGAGCCAGAGGGAATGAACAAATCTGAATCCATTCAATAAATATGAAAGAGATAACACACTCATGGTGCTGCAGCTAAAATGCAAGCAAAGCAGGAGCTGTCTGATCCTGCCAGCTCTCCTGAGGTCACAAAGACCTTGGTGGTTCGAGCTTTAATCTGGAGTATAAGAAGATGGGAGGGCATTCGATTGCCTCAGGGTGTCAAGGTAATATGTGGGAAATCAGGTGGAAGGAAGCGGACCTTTTTCTTTTTTGGATCAGCGACACTAAACATTTATTCAAAAAATATACTGTCCTCACAGCTTTTAGTGATTCTTTTGTTATAATTCCATTGAAGCTGGCAACAATGAGTTTCCAGCTTATAACAGAAAATAGTTGTGATGTACACTGCAACTTAATTCTCAGTCTGGATTTATTTCAGCTTAGACTTGACATTTCTGCATAGCAGAGGGCCTGTTGACTTTTCATTATTCGGTTAATAAAAAAGAAATAGTGATTTTCCTTCCTATCATCTCTTTTCCATCAACCTTTGACTCTCGGAAAAATGTAGCACAAAATATGCTATTTTCTGTCCAAATAATGGAAATTAAGTTCATCAGGTCAGAAAAAAATATGCATAATACATATGCAAACAATGAAATGTATCTAGCGGTCCCATGTTAGATAAACTTTGTCTGAGAACAGACTCACAGAAAGCAACTATAAGCTGATTATTACTATAAATACGCCAGCATAAAGATTAACACGAAATAATTAAATCTCAACCTATTTAATATACGATCAAGAGCTATTCAAGGAATGCTGACTTTACTATGATGTCAAGGTGAGACCATGACTGATTTCCTTTCAGTTTTTTACGTATAGGGATATATTATGTATTTTCCAGGCACATTTTATATTTTATAGTACAATCAAGTTAACGTGTGTGTATGTGTGTTTATATATATATATTCATATCCATGTTTTTTAGTACTTGTTAAAAAGGAGCTGGCAATGTAGGTGACTGAGCTAAGCTCACATACAAGATATTACAATAGTCCAAACAAGAAATGTAAAATGAAGAATCAATGACTTTGATTGGGAGCCACAGTTTTACTTTTGGAAAAAGCTGGCTATAATAACCTCCAACCTCTGTTTTTCTAGTTTCAGGCATAGTCCACACATAGCCAGATCTTTTTAAAACTGTTTAGCAGAGATAACAGTTTCTATGAAATAATCTCGTCCACGCCTGATTGGTTTAAGAAAAGTGTTCATCCAGAGTACCCGGAGAGAACCCACTCATGTACAGGGAGAACATGCAAACTTCATACAGAAAGATTGTGACCCTACAACATTCTTGCTGCAAGGCAACAGTGCTACCATCTGCACCACTGTGCAGAACGCAGTGTTAGAATATGAAGTTAATAAAACACAAGACAATGTCGACTGGCAGTCATATTAAATCAAGTATTTGGATGCATGTGGAGTTTGAATGGCATTCTGCATTGATTGGGAGGGATAAATGGTGTGAAACAGCTCACCTCCAAGTGATCTTTCTACTTTGCAACTCAACGTATCGGAGCAGTTGGGCTTATAAAAAAACAAGTGCATGAACAATAGTAAAAATAAGCACCTCTCTTTCCTCCACTGAATGGCCAAACGATAACAATGGTCACATGTGTGATGTCAGCGCTGCATTATTTGTTGCTCACTGCCATGTATTTACCTCTAAATGTCCACACACAAATTCTATTCATTCAGAGTATTTTTTATCCTTACAATTAATGAAAACACAACACTTAAGATTAGAATATTAAATCAGAGCAAAAACTAACTTTTTTTTTTATGCAGAAGTGTTGGCTTACCTGCCTGAAGTTATTTATAAGTTGAGAAATGAGCACCTACATACTGATTTAACTATGACTCTTTTGTCAAATTTCCTGAACACCACTGCAGACACTTTTGTTAATTTTTCTGATTCATGAAGACTGATTTCCATTTGAAAACACACAGCACCAAACTAAATTCAGAGCTGCAGGGGAAGTTGTATCTTTGATCTAAGACTAGAATCTTTGATCATGCAACACAGTGGCAGTGTTTCTACTGAGTTGTGTCTTTTCCTTAGAAATTCCTCATATCCTTCTTATACCAGCACACGTCTTCATGTACATACACACAAATGCTCAATTTTTAAGCCACCACAGATGCAAGAGAGGACATGGCATTTCCTCTGCAAGTATTTGAATTTGTTCCTCATATTTGCTGGTGACAAAATCCCCAAGATGCTTGTGGTTGACTGCAAACAGAAGAAATCACACTGAAAAGGTTGTGTAAAAACAAAGTGTAAAGAAATGGGACAGGAGTGGGAGTCTGAGAGAGATAGGAAAAAATGGGAAGATTTATCAAACAAAAGTTCACCTTAAAGAAACTTGTGACAAAAAAAAACAAACAAAAAAACAACATTCAATAGCCTGAAGTGGTTAGTCGATGGAAGGATTGTTTTACCTGTGATGGACTGGCAACCAATGTGTACCCCCCTCGATATACAACTACTGGAGACGGGCCTCAGCTGCCCCAATGTCCTCACAAGATATCACTTGTGTTGACAACTGATGGATGGATGGATGGTATGGATATGGTTCAGGGATTTAATCATATTAAATAAGTGTTCATTCACCAGATCTTGTAGTGATCCATAAACAAATGAATGCACCTGTATACACAAAGGACATGAATGAACCATTGCCCTTTGATAACGCTGTGGCAGTCAATGTCTGAGAGGAAACGTTGATGCAATTGAGAGAAATACCAGCAGTATGAGACTTACTTGTAGAGAGGTGGTTGACAAAACGCCACCAAAAAACTGATTTTGTTTCATCGGAGAATTCGGTTGGCTTCAATGTGCACTGTTGCCACTAGTTACTGCTTTCTATTATGAGTCTAGCGAGGACAGATCATCACCTCAAGGAACACAGTTCACTTAATTGAAACACTTGTAAACGGAACAGTAAAGAAAATAGAACTCTCCTCCTAAATGTCATTTCAACCTCTGAAGTCCAACACTATGAGTTTGTCAAACTAAGAAAATCGATTTGAACTATTCCGCTCTCTTCCATACAAGTTTTCCACATAAAAGGGTAGCCCGCCTGTTCTCAAGCCTGATCTCATGCCTGACAGTCTGAGTCTTTTCAGGAATAAAGATAATCTGGACCATTAAGTTATCACCAAAAGAGCAAGTGAAAGTCAGATACACTTCAAAAGTTACAGGACACAGAACGTTTATTTTAGTCACATACTACAATGTAGAGCAAAGAGTGAAATCTTCTATCCAGGATTTAAGAAAAACCAAGGGTGTACTTCTCCAGCATAAATTTGTTTAAAGAAGCATTGCAATTCAAAAGTCAAATGTTTATCATTATGTCAGTGTTACCACCCCTCCAGTGCCCTGCAACATTGAAGTACTGTTGAGAGGAAAAGTTTCGAGCCGATTAGAATAATAATCTGCTACCATTTCTTATGACAAGGAAAAAACATTAACAACTCAGTTTGTATAATCACATTTCTCTTGAATTACACATTAGAGTTAAAATGGGTTCAGGAATTAAAAAAAAAAAGAAAAAAACGATGTGGTGGTACACTGGCTGTTAGCAAATGGACAGAGACTGTTAGAAGACTTATGGAGGTTTCCTTCTGATGTCTCACTTAGACTGCAGCTGGATGTTTATGAGGCATGCAGAGAAATGGAACGAGGTAAGGAGTGATTAACCTGCTAATAATTAATCATGAGGGGTGTTTCATGTAATGAGAGCGGATGCTACTGTTACTAAAACAAGAAAACCTTTTAAGGCATCTCCAAATCTGTACAATACAGCCACAACTGAGCCATGTATATAACTTAAAGGAAAATACTCTGTTGCTGATTATTTCTTTTATAGACAAAAGCTCTGACAGGGAGCAGTGTATTTCTGCAGATGGCTGTAGGACCACAGGGAGGTAACAGAGCAGCTTGATTTTTAAGTTTTTTTTAAGATTATGTCTAATACTGTAAGACCACAGTGACAGCTTTAATATTTAAATACAAAAATCAAATATTTATAAAAGTTATACTACAGCTTTAAATATATTACTGAGTTCTACCTAGCAGTTAAGTGACTGCTGATCACAATTATTCAAGATTTATTTTTTCCCCGACCACATTTCTTCCTCAAAGGTGATGGATCCTGTCTTGCCTTCCAGTTTAATAATGTATTGAACAGGTCTTAACCCAGTTCAGTAGTTTCTTCAATCTCCTTAGATTTTTTTTTTCTCTGCTTGATGCATGTCAGCCTTATTAAACAGGCTATCATCTTTTTCACAAACACTGGATGTGTCTTACTGTGGTTGTTTAGAAAACTTACTGCATTAATAACATGTTGCCAGCGAAAAGATCATCACCCCAGCAGTACATATTTGCCTATATATACAGGGGCATCTGAAAAAATCTGAAGGCAGTGGGTGGGTGGTCTGACACAAAGGGGAAGACGATGGCAGAGGGTTATAAGGGTTGTCGGATCAGTGACAGACAGGGGCTCTTTCCCCAGAGAGGGGCCATTACAGGGAGAATAGAGGAGGAACATGTTGGCGGGCCCTGCCACAGAGCTTATTGGCAATCTGTTAGTGGAGCCGCTGGCAGGAGAGAGAATAACGTGTCTAGGGACAGAGGAGTGCCTGTGAGAAAATAAAAATCTACTCTCCTCTGGATTCCTGGCAATGAGAGAGATATGTGGAGTGGGTGGTGGTGGGGGTCAGGTGTTGACAGCATAAAACAGGAAAAAAAAAGGAGTTGAATAAAATATATAGTGGTGTTTTGTTACCACAAGGGATGTTTGGAACATCCCAACTGCAGGATTTGCATTTGTATTTAGTTCAATACCAGACAGGTGAATGGGGTGATTTTTGTGGCTAAAGGGATTGTGAGCCCAGACCAGAGAGATGAATTACAAAATGGGTTCTCACTCTAGAAGGGCCATAAATCACAAAGTGTGATTAAGTGTTCAGTGCAAGGTAAATTACCCTCTTAGGTAGAACAACAAAGTCCAGTTTTTAGTGGATATTACTTGGCATTAGGGTAATACCCAGGACAAGGTGTTTGATGGAAAAGGTTTTTCCATCAAACAAGTTCCAATGCTAGAGCCAGTTTTCAGCTTACCTTTTAAAATATCCTTTTGAGTTTTCTGTAACCTGAGAACTTTAAGCATTTACGTCGCTATAAAAAAAAAACAAAGAAACTTTTAATTAGAACTTTTATGGATGGCCACACCATCGTGTGAGAAAAATCAAAATGTTTGTTTTAGTAATCATCCAAAGAGATGCCTGAAATATCACAATCTTAGGTTATTAACACTATTTAACCAACAAGTGGTTATTTTAAACACTTGATGATTCTTATAACCTCATTGGCATCAGCAGCCCTGGAAAATAGTAATTAAGCACAACGTCTACAGCGTGATTTATTAAGACCACCTGGCGATATTAAAAACCAACACTGTTCTTGATTCACTGAGAAATATTAGCTGAGAGTGCAGCTCCATGCGCCAAGTGGACGCTGTTTACAACTTAATAATGGGAGATGGAAAAATACTTTTTCAATTGCTTAAACCACATTTTATTATTAAGACAGTGCTTTGTTTCTGAAATTACGTGGATCAACAACAAATTTCAGAAATTTAAACGGAAGTCTTATCGTTTTTTTTCTTCTGCTTTTGCTTTGCCAGCTTCTTTTGCTCCAGTTCAGAGTTAGTTCTGAGAAAGATGCAGTTTATTGGTCTAAGCACCAGAACTGGTGCAAACCAAGCACTAGCACAAGTATTGCACAATTGGTGTGCTGGAAAAAAGGGGCTTAGTTGCAAAAGTCAAAGAATCATTCAAGCCCACATTTATGCTTAGAGGCAATTTAGAATTCCCAACACAGCTAGATTTGCCCTCTTCCATCTTTTTAATTTAGACATAGAACACGGTCAAAGTAACTAGCCTTTACCAGCATCAATTAGGGATGGCTTTGTTCTGGGAGAAAGCAATGTTGGTCGATGTGCTGCACATGTTGCACAACACCTTCATAATTGCAGGTCATTGCTGTTCTATCTTTTTTTTTTTATTGCAGCCAGCAATGTTTAAATTATTAAAACGCTGCATAATAATCAGCTTAAATTAACAGATTTCTGGTTTATTTTTACTTGTTACTGAAAAACAGTTAAATTAAGTTTGTCATTTTCAGGATCAGTCTCTGACTTTTGCTGTAGGCATGTAATCGAGCCCATTTAAGTGGTGAGATTCTATCCATGTTTAAAAAGGGCTTATTGCTATAGATAGATACAGACACAAACTAGTAAAATAATAGTAAGCAATATAATTAATCATTCTGTTTCAGGTACTGCAGAGGAAATTAGCTTGGAAAACTGATGCAGTTCAAAGAGATGCCTGAATATCACAATCTTAGGTTATTAACACTATTTAACCAACAAGTGGTTATTTTCAACACTTGAAGATTCTTATACGCTCGTTGGTTTATAAGAAGGAAGGATGGATGATAGAGCTGTGTGGTACTTCATATTATCATACCTCATACCTTTCTGAAATAATGACCCAAGTCATTTTTGCCCAAATTGATTTTCTTTCTTTTTAAATAAAGAGGTGGTATTTTTTTTTGGCAATAAACACTCTTGGCAAACAATGACTTATTGACATTATTTTAGGAAGGTGACGTTACCGAGTAAATACAGGGCAAGTGTGACCAGTATCAAACTAGATACAGATCATTTTTATGATTGAGCATTAACATATAATCAAACTTCTGACCTTTGGATGTTTATTTATTTATATATTTTTTTCTTTGAATTAGTTTTTTAAAAGAATATAGACAAAGTTTAAAGGTGTCTACAAAATACTGAAAGGAGAAAAACAAAACAAATTAGTGTTTCCTTTTTGTTCTTAAAGTGAAAAACATTACAAGTTGAGAGTAAAGTGAAAGGGAAATCTTTTTCAAGGTAGATTTGAGAAACTACCACAAAAAATAAAATCCAATTTCAAAAGGGAACCTGAAGCTGAAGTCTGTCCCTTGCAGCGCTATTATTGATCCAATACTGATACTATCTTGATATTTTGGATCTATATCCAAAGTATTAAAAACCTTCATAATTGAAATTCTTTCTTGTTTATTATTTATGACTTGAAGGGTATAGTTTATGTTTGTCTGCACTTCATCAACTGCTAATATTACTTTTTTCTTCTGTAGAACATATAATTATCTGAGACAGACTGTGTCATAGCTAAAGTTAAAGAACAAAGGAAGAACCAGGCAACAAATGCAAAATAAATCCTTTGATCTTATTCATTTAAAACTCACTCACTGACTAATACATTTATAATAATGCCATAATCATTTCATCACATTGTGTGTGGCGCAGAGATGAAAGTAATAATAAAAAAATATCTAAGAAGTACGATATAATATAGATAACGAGAGAAAATAGAAGAAAAGGCAGGAATTAGGAGATGCCAAATATCCTCAAACTGGGGTTAATATTTCAGTTTAATTTCACACTGTTTGATATACAGTCAGATATGATGCTGCTTTGAGCATCAGATCTGGTGTCACTGTTTCAGCTACAGTGGAGATTTCTCTTTCCAAAAGACAATGAATGGTGCTCAAGTGGAAGATGAGTAGCATCAGTCAAACCCTGTGCTGAGAAGGAACCCAAGAGGGGAATTATCTGCACTTACTAGAGGTGATGTCATAGTAACTGCAGTGTCTTTGCTGAAACTATTCTTTGCAACCTCCCAACAGAGGCTGGGCATGATCTCCTGAGCTGTCTGAGAAACCAAGGTTTCCCAGAGAATTATTGATTTTGTCTCATAATCTATTTTTGAGACTTTGGAGCAAAGCTAAAAAAGAGAGAAGAATATCATATTACAGATTTTTTTTTCTTTTCTTTTCCTTTTTTGGCCCTGGCAATTGGGGTGGAGGATGATTTTATTCTAAATATGCTTGAACTTATTAGTCTGGTGTGCAGGCACTTTTTCATTGTCATATGCACTGCAAGAATTAATTGGTGGGAGGGAACCCTTCCAGCCACCTTGTTGGGTGCAAATGATATTTTTATAGCCTAAGGACACTATTTGAAGGCAAAAATAAGTGTCACACACCCACCTGAGAGCAGATTTAACTGATTAATTAAAAATTGAGGGTGGAAAATTTACACGTACAACGGCTCTCTCGAAACTTAATCAAGTGCTTAATTAACAATTGTTAGCAGTTAATTGCTGATATAAGATCTCTGAGCCTGAATGACTTTTAATACATAATAAATTGGTGGGTGAAATATGATAGCTGAATGAAGTGGAATATATAAAATAAAAATTCTTAATGATATCTAATTAACCTCCTTTGAAGGTTTGATACCACATGGAGGGGCATGCATTTTTTGGGCAGATCGGGGGAAAGGGTAGAGAACAAGGGGACTTAGGAAAGAAAAAATAAAATATCTGCATCATCCATGCAAAGGAGATGCATTTTGTGATTCAAAACATACCATTTTGGGGAAAAATCATTTAATACAAAGTTAAGAAGTCAATTCCACATTAAAATGCCTGAATGAATATTGTGTACAAAACATTTAATTCAGGCACCTCAAGGTCGTGTATAAAAAACAAGTCCAGTTCAAATCCGAAAACATTCTGTTATGTAATACAAACTGCAATTTATTTAAGTTTGATTATAATGCAACACATTTCAATCAAGTAAAATTCAGTTTTAAAATAATTATAAAATATAGTTAGACATGCACCATTTGAATGCTCGATTTTAACCTCTCACTACCCTGGAAAAAGTCACTTTTTTTATAATTGGCCAAAACAAAACCGTTTCAGATTCCAATGGCGTCCTGGATTCTTCAAAACATATGGATATTCCTTGACTTTTGTTAAAAAGAAGTTTAATGAGCAGTCCTAAGTGGGATTAATTATTGCTATATATTAAGTATAATTGATGGTATTTATTCAATAACTCCTAATTCTGGTAACAGAGCCTTTGTGCATCATTTAAGTTTATAATCAAGGTCCCTCAATGGAAAGTAAAGACTTGATCTTTTATATTTAATTTTTATTAGATTATGGTGTAGATTGTTACACAGACTGAAATGAATGATTCTAACATAACATAGGAAATCAATCCTTCATTTAGCAAGGCACAAAGGTGGTAAACCTTACAAAGGTTTACTTGGAAATCTTGAAAACCACAAATAAATGTGCTGTCTGAGAACCAAGTTTTCTGTGTCAAATCAATATTACTTATTGCTTGAGCAAGGTAGTTTATGGGGGCCAGTTTTTGCGTACGTACTTCATTTAATATGTGCAGTTTGTGTGAAACTAATCAACACTACTTGAATTACTTCCTCTCTGACCTTCCTGTTCCAACTTCCACCTCTCATTTCATCACTGACCTTCTATGGATGGGTACATAATTGAGGATCCTCCCGCTGTGAGAAATGTATGAAAAGAAGGAGAGGTGGTCATATTTTTTCAACTTCAGAACAGTTCTTCTCACACTTGTCTGTGTATCTGCACCAAGGTCAAATCGAGTGTATATTTTAAGAAGATGGATTGCCCTGGCAAAACGCTCATATTCAGGCCTGGCCCACACTCTCCACGCCAAGATATTAACTGGCTTTACCTAGCCCCTAGGACACACATTTCTCACAGCGCGTTTTTATGTGGAGACATACCTTTGACAACAATATATGGACTATCCACATCTGATTTATAGCTTGAGCCAACAAAATCCCCAAATCTTTTTATTTGTACCAAGACAAGGATGCTTTGTTAGTGTTGATAGAAAGTTAAAACACACACAAATACATATTTGATTAAGTAGAATTGGTATTTATAGTACACATAAACAGTCACAAATACAATCAACGTAATATTGAGAGTGGATCCTGCATTGTCATCCAGTTATTGTCCAACTGTACGCGAGACATATAAAGAAGTTTGATAATATTTTGTGAAGAAAAACTCTAGAAACTGACATGACCTGGTCGGATTCAGTGAAAGGCAGGAACTTATATAAATATCTAACAGCTATCTGTTAAAATGTGTTTCCAGTAGACTCAAATAACTCCACATAAAGAAAAACAAAAAAACATTTGTAGTATTGTTCTTGCAGTTACCAATAATGTTTACATTGATACGTGTTGATGAAACTGACCAACAATTAACTCCATGAAATGACTGCGTCTCTGTAAAATTTTGAAATTCTTGAGGGTCTTACAAGTATGTGCACTTCACTTCAAGGTTTTGCTTAAACATGCGTAGATATCGATTTGTTACATTAGCTGGTCATCGCATGTATTTTAAAAATCCTGATATGTTTTCCCCACTGAAGATTGTCTATTTTACTTACTCTGAAATTAATTAAAGATCGTTTCTTTCCACAAGCCTTCAGTGTGGTCTGCGCCCAGTTCCTTCCTCTCTTGTCATTCTCAGATAATTCACCTGGCAGCCAAGTGTCAGAGGTCCTCAGCTGAATAATGGTTAATGAAGCATGTAACCTGCATTACTTCTGCCTTCACTTCCTGCCCTTAGTGACATGTGCTGCTCTTCTGTGCTCTTCACTCCACACTGCATTAAAAGGGGCAGCGCTCCGAGGCAGCTTCCTGCTCTCTACCTGTCTAACCCGTTCTGTTTAAGCTTTGCCAAATTACTCACTGGGTGCTGTATGCAACACTGCTTGCTGAGGAAACAGTTTATAAAGTGCATATTCCCACTAACATTCTGACACATCTGCGCTCTCACACTGTCGGTCATGGTTCTATTTTAATTCTTTCTAGTGTTTCACACCAAAAGTAATATTAAAAATGAGCCATACTTGAAAGTGTGACACAGAAGAGAGGCAGCCTTGACAGCAATTCACATCTAATTGTTTTAACTTGTCAAGAAAATGAAATATTGATTTTTATGTTGAAATTTGAGTGTTCTGTTGTTATTAAAATAGCACATTTAACGTGAAAAGGTAACTTTTCATTCCAAAGTGATTGCCACAGACACATTTTATTCCCCTGAAGCACACATTGGTCTTGTGCTAATATGTGCAGGCAATAAAAGACTTAGCATCTTCAAAAGGCACAGAACTGTTGTTTGTTTTAATAATCACCACATGTTTTAGAGGGCGCATGGATTTATGCTCATTTTGTGCAATAAGATGCAAATGCTCTCATTCAAGTAATTTAATTTTTGCATGCTTTTCTTTGCATGTTTAATATAGTTGAAACCATATATTTACATACACCAAATAAAAACATGCATACACATCTTTTTTTTTTTTTAGCTGTCTTAAATTAAATCAAACCAAGTCTAAGTTTTAGGTCACTTAGTATTACAATTTTTTTTTCCTATTTACTAAATGTCAGAAAACTTTGCGAGAGCTGAAAAAAGCAGCACAAAAGAATGCTGATCACAAGGACAAAGAGAAGTCAGTCCTTGTTAGATAAGCATGTATGAAGTGGCACAATAAAAAAAAAAACCTCAAAACATTTCAGTCTAACATTGGAATTAAAAAGAAGGAAGTCAAGAAACAGTTGAAAACGAAAAAGAGACGACGCACAGTTACTGCTGTTTCCCTAAATTAGTGGTACATTTTATTGGATAGCATTCTGTCTGGAAGTATTCATTTTGTGTGACTTTTATGAGTTATAGGTTTTGTTTGCAACATTTACTCCTTATTAATCAATGTTAGGCTTTGTCGTTTGAATTTTGTAAGATCTTACTTACAAAACTTAACTTTTTTTACTACCATCATTAAATTAACCATCATTAAATTAACGTTTAAAGCTAATAGTTGTAACTTTAAACAAAGTAAATGCATTTATCAACAGGGATTTATCATCTCTTAGATGTTTCCATGCAAAAACAAAAAGTCAAAAGGGCACAATTTACTATTTTTGAGGAGTCCCCACACAGGGATAATCAGAGATCTTCCATTTGTTTCTGCAATTGGATGTTAGGGAGCTTAAAGTGAAGCACTTTAAGTCCAATTCAAGTGAAATACAGAAGCAGCTTGAGGCTTATTGATCTCAAGGCTGCAAACATCAGCAGTGTAGCTTTTTCTGCTCAGTTGATGTACAGGCCGTGAACTTATGACCTTTTGCTGTGTCAGGCTTTCTGGGTCTAATCCGTGCAAATCATCCAGGGTCACAAATTATGCTGGGTTAGCAATTTCTGTTTCACAGTGGACTACTTCAGTATTTCCCCCATAAGCGTGTTCTAAGGTACAAATAAAAATCATTTTTAGGTAATACAGCATATGTATTTCATAGTGGTCTTACTTCTTGATTGGAGAAAAACATGACGACAAATATTCAAATATAAAAGGCAACAAGGTGGTAAACATGATTCAGAATAATTAATGAGTAATCAATAATTTGTGTTAATTAGAGCTTAACACTTACTCCAGGACTACACAGTTATATTTTATGAGTTTGAAGTAGGACCAAAATATAGACAGGAGCTTCGGATAATCATAGGGTGTTATCTTTTATGAAAATAACTTGCAGGATGAAGAACAGGCAGCAGAACAGCAGGGAAACTGGAACATGTCATGGGCGGAGCCAATGAAGAAAGGAACAAAGGAATGGAGACAAATGAACACTAGTGGGGCTAAACAAAGGAAAATGCCTGAAGCTCCAAAAAACAGGAAGGAAAAATTGGAGAAGGAAAATCCAAATGCACTAACAGAAGGTAAGCATAAACTAAGAAACCGAAAACACAAAAGACTGCCCTAATATGGCAACATCTAAGAAAGCAAATGAAAAACAGAAATGCTCAAAGCAGAAACTCAAATGACACACAAAATTCAAACACCCAATGATCATAACACCCAACAAGCCAATATTTTTCTATTGACTATTTGCACATGATGTCACTGTCTGCTGTATATTTTTATTGTAGACCTACATCAAACAAAACTCTGATTTGGGCAATTTAGTGATGGTAAATTTACTGATATTATTATTAGCATCAATATGAATTGATTTGTATGCTTATTTCTTAAATATGTTTATAATCAAAGGTTTTCTGTAGGATTATTTATATGTCTTCATACAACATCCAATACAAGATCTGATTTTGGATTTCTAATAAGTGATTTCAGAAAGGGTTTTAATCGAGTTTTTATTTTCCTTTTTGCTGCTTTTTGTAGGACATTTCTGATTGAATGCCAAAATTATTATAAATTTTTCGTATAGTTTCTGAAATTCTAAACAAAGATGTCAGCACGCACCTATGAAGAAGCGGTCAATGGTGTTTGGTTGCATTGAAGTATTATAGACTTAGTGGTTCAGCTCTGGCATTTTAGCAAAGTTAATATCTAGTATTCATTCCTTCACTCTCTTTCTATCTCCACCTCCCTCTTGCTGTCTGTGCCAAATTATTTATTTCCAATGCATGAAGTATCCTTCCACATGAGTAAGCGCGCTGTCATTCATAAACGCACTCAGTCTGGCAAGAGATAAACAAATAAGCAATGCACGTATACGACTAATTTCAAATGCTATTTCTATTTCCTTATCACCCATTTTCTGACTCTTTGGGTGCTATCGTTCAATTAAACACCATTATCTGCAAGAAGACATTCAAAGTTTTGCGCTCCTAAGAAGCTGCCCTGTTGCTGATTATGTATTCCAAAGTAGGAAAGGAACTTATTGAAGAGGAGTTACCAATTTGGAAAACAAAATTAGAATTAAGACATTATTTTATCGCAGGGGAATTACTTCATGGAATTGTAAAGTAGTTTATTTTAAATAAATTGTAGAACAAACACTTTATTATTGAAATTGATTTAAAAAGTTTTAGATCTAAGCAGACCCAGCAGATTGCACCAAGTTGTTGACTATACACTAGTCAGTAAATATGGAGCGTGCATGAGTCAGGAGTGGAAAGAAAAACTTTACAGGATGGTACGGTCAGCAGAACCAGGCTCAGTGTGACCGGTCCTCTGACATGACCGACGACATTTGAGAAGACAGCACAAACACAAGTTATTCAAGATGTCTTAAAGAATCAGTGGTTTGAAAACTGTCTTGACTGCAGCCGCATGTTTACTTCTGTTATCCATTTAAGCTTTATGTATGCAAAATGTTCTTGTTTCATTTCGTTGTGCAAATTATTTGCTGAATTTGGGGTGCTGACTACCACGTGTGCTCAAGATATTTTCTTTTCTTTTTTAACATTTTTTTGAGTGTCTATCTTTCCGCTGGATCGGCCAGAGATAAATTTGTCTTATCTCTTTGAAAATGCACATCTCTATTCTTAGCATTCCTGCAGTATGTCAGCACTATTTGTCTGCTTTTTATCTTTACACTCTTGTCTGATCTGATAAAGACCCAGTTCCACCTTGGGTCTTTCAATAATTGTTCCTACAGTAATTTTGTCTTTTTTCTCATTAATTGGAACATCTGATCTCATTGAACAATTTTCTCGACATTAGGTTTATTTAAACTCCAGAAGTTGATGCCAGTGTTGTTTTTAGTTTACTCAGAACAGTTTTCCTCCTTTCTTCTGGATGGTATTACAAATATGACATAACCCACTGTTGCTAATATGAAAGCATTATGCTGGATGGGGATTGTGTGTCCTGGCACAAGACCGAATGCAGAACGCTCAAGCAAATTGGCAAAATCTATTCTCTGAGTGTGATGTTGCCATGATACTTTGGGTGGAGTTTGGAATGAGGTGCCCCAGCTCATCTTTAGATTTTATTGTATTTTATTCCACATATCCTTTGCACCCTTGAGTGCAAAAACATTTCCTTATCAACCATTCAAACCCCTTTGGTTACGCATGTGATCCAAATGCAGCAAACTGGCACAATAAATTCAGTGGGAATATCATTGTAAGAAATGCTGTAGCCGATTATGCCCACTTAAATTATCCATGCTAGTTTTATTATCTGGCATCTTCTGTTGCCATTAATAATTACTTGATGGTAGAATACCATCAAGAGTACCCCACCTCAAAAGACCATTGTGTTTGAGGGCTGCATTTAAGCACCTTAACCAAAAAAAAATATTACAACCTCTATTGGCTTTAGCAAGCTGCAAAGATTAATCTGATGACCATCCTCTACCAAAACACAGTAGCAATAATAATGGACATTACCATTTGATATTACAGAGTTAAATGGGGGTATCTATTTTTTGCTTCATATCATATTATAATGTTGTTCTCATTAAAAACATACCTGGAGTGCTGCTTTGTCTCTTTTGTGCATATTTGAGGAATCACCTGTGGCAGCAATTTGGCAGTGCCTGAATATTTGCTCATACAAAGCGCCACCTATTTCCAGAAAGCTCCTCCTCCCCTGTGCCTTCACTACTTGGCTCCACCAGACTAGCCAGCAGCAATTATAAGCTTACCATACAAACTACACTACAAACTACAGGCCCAGTGGTTGTAAATGGCTCAGTGGAGGAGCATTGTTATGATGAGGTGTTAAAACCAGAGTGTCGGAAAGAGCAGGAGCTTCTTAAAGTAACAGAGGCCTAATTTCAATGTGCTAACTTGCAACGTCAAAATTCTTTTAAGTCATGTCATGCAGCATCATTACACCAACTGAAGGTGTTTGTGCTATAAAATGTGCCTGGAAAATATATAATACTGCCCCTTTAAGAGATAAGTGCCTATTCCGAGGTCTGGCTCCAGGCTGTATCAGTGTGGGAGTTTTTTGCCTTCTGAATGTGGTCAGTATCTCTTGAAGGAGCAGTTTTATTCTCCTGCCGATTAACGTGAGATACCTCTTTCATCCTTTCTGCCCTCCCACATGTGGGGAACTGTGCAAAACTTTTTCAAATCTATCTAATGGTGAATTCAATTTTTGAAGGGGATTTTACTGTTAATCCTTTTCAGGGCTGGTACAACTCTCCAGTGAGCTCTTTCTAATTCTGTGTGACCTGTCTGCAAACAATAGCTTTATCAAAAATATGTAAATAAGAAAGTGCCAGGAAAATCCTTAAAGTAAAGATTAACTTTAATTTCAGGTTAATCAAATGAACTGTAACTGAAGGCAAACCTGCCTTCACGCACACTAAATGCTGAGACCTAATCAAAGGGGAATTCAGGAAATTACTAATTTAAGGATAGGCACATTTATGCATACCTATTTTTTAATAAAAATTGTTTACCCTTTGAACTATCCACCATATATATTCATTAAATAAAATATCTTGAAAAGATTGATCTGATTTATTTATTTTTTTATCTGTTATCTTAACAGTTGTGACTTCACTTCCCAGAACCATTGTGAATGTAGTCATTGTTTATTTCCATTACTCTGTTTAGAACCACACGTGTGAAAAGAGAATAAATATTAAAACACTGAAGAAACATCTTGGTTTATGCGCTGTAACCAACGCCCTATTCAGTCATTGTTGTTGCAGATTACCAAAGTCAGACAGAGCCAATCCAGAACACCACTGTACATTGTCACTAATAGCATGGAACGTTTGCTCTATTTTTCTATAACAAAATTATAAATTAATTGTGACACAGAAACAATAGTTTTTCTGGTTTTGTCATGTTTACCTAACTTAAAAGTCAAAGGCAGATAGTTTCTGTTGTCTTTTTTTTTATACATACCTTTCCTCTGGAATGTGTGTATCTCAGCACGTTGCACTGTGAAATCAAAAGGTGTTATCAGATATGCAGAGGATTCGAACCTCTAAAGTTATCAGCTAAACTGCCGAAACGCTTGGAGGAGCTGGCCCTTTTAAGCTCCTCTGATCCCATTTAAATTGCTAAGCGTGATTTCTACACTAAAAGACTACTTGGTTGCTCTAAATTGTCACAATTGAAATTTCATTGTAGCCTTTAGCTCAAAAATAGATGAGCTAAGATCAAACACTGCAGAGTACAAGACATTTAAGCAGTATATTATTAGATGAGGGTTTATTATTCAAAACCTTTTGTACAGTAAGGTTAGAATGAATGTCAGGAAATGTGTTTCAATACAACAAAGTTCATTACTGAATAATAGCTACACTGCAAGTAGTAACAAAAATAGTCAGAAATGAAATGACTAAGCGAGTTTAAGCAGAGGTGTGCTCAGTGTAATTGTGAATGGATGTGTGGAGAACTCAAATGAGACATCAGGCAAGGACTGAAAAGAGAAGAAAAAAACAGCTGTGGAGTGGTAGAAAAATGTGAAGAGGGTGACAAGGAGCTGTATGGATTTCAAGAATTTTCACTAGGCTCAGCCCCAAGAAGCTAATACCTCAATTCACCACCTGCAGCCCAGTATAACACTCTTTTTTCACATATTCATTTCAGACATGGTGAAAACCCTGAAGGAGAATGAGGAAGAGAGTGAGAGAGGCAGTACGCTTGCTTGCTATCCCAGTTTTATTTTAGCCCCACAAGGCATTGCAGAATTTGTCATACGGAGGAGCTGAATTTTTTGACATCCTCCAGGAAGCGGTGGAGTTGGATTTTTCTTTACTCCCCCATATCCAAGTCTTTTAGCCCTGTGGTTATCTGTTTGTGAGTTTTCCGGTGAGACAACATCACATGTCAATTGGAATGAGTGCAGTGTTTTCTAAAAGTGAGCTAATGTTTAGAAGATCTGGGCTTATTTCAGTGTCGGTGTACGTTTACCAATTGTCTTGCAAAAATTTAAATTCCCTGTGCCAACGTAGAGACATATGTAATAATGCTAACTTTAACCAGAGACAACATTGCTGAGGTTC